TAAATACAAAAATGATTTAGTCTTAAGAAATTCTTATATACTATGTATATACTAAGTCACCTCAATCACTAATGACTTTTGCATTAATAACATACATGCTCATCACCTTTGATTTGTTACAATCTGTTCAGAATTTGATGGTTTTAACTTTGGAATTAATTCTCCTATTTCCTCATATAATTATCTGTAAGGCTTAGATTTCACCAATGTACAGTAACAATGATGTTATTGTTCACAATTTAGAACTTCACTTTATTTACAAATTTGCAGAACACCAGCAGACCTATGTAGAATTTTTTTAACTTGATAATTTACTAGAATAATTTAAAACTCTGTATTAATTGAATGTTATACTATGTCTTTCAAATTAGAGTTATATTATTCATTGCAATGAAAAAAATCTAGTTAATGTGTTGTGATTCACACTTCTGTTTTTCAGGACTATTGTACTAAAGGGTATAAAAACTAAAATGGCCACATTACATTTCTAAAAGGTGGATACAAGTTTGTAAAATTTGTTATAATAGCTGAAAAAAAAGTTTTGTTTTTTTTACCTAGAAAAACTTGAAGCACATTAAAATCCTGGTGCCAATTCTATATATGCTATTTTTAGGGAAAACGTAGGTATTATGACACAGTTCCAATGTCATTTTCATGAAGACCAACCCTAACAGTTAATATTTTCTTGGTGCTGTTAAGTCCTTGTTGTGGTAAAATTAGGTTTCATGATTCTGTAACATTTAAATTTGAAATAAAGTGTATTCTCATTACATTTACACCAGAACAATCACTTTTAAGGCTGCTAATAGTTTAGTATTTAACAAATGGTTACCAAAATAAGTAAATGTTAGCATTCATATTTGATGAAGAGTATAAAATAAACATGTTATTTACATTAAAGCAAAGCTTCACATACACCACTTTAATAATGATACAAGAAAAGATCTTTCAAGGGTTTTCTAAACAGTATAGCAAAAGCAAAATCCAGGACTTCTAAGTTTTACATGAATTCTACCAAAGGAGTTTTAATCTTGTATCCTTCATGTTTGTGAGTCTTGCTGTTCAGAATTTCTCCCTTTATATTTCCATCCTGGTTTCCCAGTTCCTGATTATCTGAACATCTAGAAAAGTAAAAAGCCTTGGTGCTACTCATACATACCCCAAAAACTGAGGATATCAAACACTTCTGTGTCATAATACTTGTTGTAAATTCACTCAGGATGATGGGGATGGGGGGGAGGAGAGAGTCCCAGGATGTAACCACCTAAGAAAATATTTTATTTTTTCCCAACAATACTTGAAACAGACCTTTAGAATTTTTCTTCAAACTGTTTAAACATTCACTTTTCTTGGAATCCATTAAGACAGCTTACTGGATTACTTAATGAACAATTATTAATGGACTATTGACAAAGATGTCCTTCCAGCAATGTTTTTTTTTTCTTTTTTTAATTTTGGAATGTGGAATCTTGGTTAGAAATATTTAATTAGGATTTGTGGAAGAAATTAAGATAGGAATTCTGGTTAGAAATATTTAATTAGGATTTGTGGAAGAAATTAAGATAGAGAATTTATTTAGGAAATCTAAAGACCTGGCCAGCAGTACATTCAGAGCTCCAGACTTCCAAAGGGCTACCATACCCCTGAGAGCAAGCTGCTGCTTTTCTAAAGTTAGCAGTTAATAAAAATTAACTACCTGAAAATAATAGATGAAAACTGGGCTTTAGAAAAGCCAAGCCCCATCCTTGTTTACAGCAAGCATAAAACCAGATTTCTAATCCGTAGGAGCCACAATCACCTATTGATTGCGACGACATCTGTGCCCCTGTTTTGGGAAGCAGGGTTTTCTGCGGAGGCAGGGCTGAAAAATCCGACCATTTCCGTGAGCCTGTGTAATCAACAGCTGACAGACCTCTGAGGAAGGAGTCTTGAAACCCGCACCTGGGCTCACTCATTTCTCACCTATGGACGGACCCAATTAAAAGTCCTCCCTTCTGTCTTCAGAAGTTATTCGTTTCAAAAATGCAATCTGTGAAGTAGCATCACTAGAACTCAGTGGTACTCTCTAGCAGACAAAGGGTGAAATGCTTTGTGCGCCACCAAAGACAACCTCCTTCGCCCCAGGCCAGCCCAGAGTAAGCCACTGAGCTCCGAACGAATCAGTTCAGCAGTGGGCACATAATGACCTCAAAGATCAGAGCCTCTTAACCCCTTTCTTACCCCAGAGCTTCCCTCAGGATAAAGTCTCTTAACTATCATAGACCTGTCTGCTGGGGGCTGGAGGAGGTGGAGGGTGGGTTAGCCGATTGGTCCGGAGGGCGACCCCTTAATCCTGGACCAAGTTTACATCGCACAAAGCTCCTGACTAAGGATAGTTGCCAAACCGTGAAGCCAAGGCCAAGGCATTGACAGGGACCACCTGGGGATGGGGAGTGTGTGTGTGTGTGTGTGTGTGTGTGTGTGTGTGTGTGTTTGGTGGGGGGTGTATGGGAAAAATAGAGTGGATACTAAAGCCGAGTTCAGAAACCATCCCCTCCCCCTGATGCAGGCTGATTAGTAGCCGAGGCACAAGAGAAAGCTGATTCGTTTCCGCTCTCACTTCTCAAGATCACACTCAAGTTCAACCCCTGACTCCCACAAGAGGTCTGAGCAACCAGGACCTTTTCTCAACCTATCCTTAAGGAACAACACCTGATGTTGCGGGAGGGTACAGCCTGTAGGAAATGCGTAGGAAGGGCAGAGGAGAGACAGTAAGGGGTCAGGAAAAGAGAGCCTGGGAGGTAGAGGAAAGGTCTCTGCCACCTGGTAAGCTTGTTTTTTCTCCAGCGGGAAGCCCCGGGCCCCCGGAGAGCCGTTTTAAGTTAGGACTTGTAAACTCTTCTGGGCAGCCTGGCTAGGGTGACGCCTTCTGGAAACCGGGTGTGGGTTTTCGACTGGTTTCTAAAGGTGAGCATTACGCGAGCGCCTGGCTTTCAACCCTTCAGGCTGCTAGAGTCCCCGAACGAAGCAAGCGCAGTGGCGAACCCGGACTGTCTCGGCATATTGCTCCTTCAGGAGCAGCGCGATCAAGCTACAACCCACTCCTGCCCCACACTGCTCCGTTTTCTTCAATTTAAGGGGAGAGTGAGCGGCTTTTACGCCGCACATCCTAGTGCCGGGTCGGAGCGAAGGTGACGCGTGCTTTCGGACCTTCAGAACATAACCTAGCCAACCGAGGAATGTTGGAAGGGGAGAAGTAAGGGAAGGGAGAACTGGCAGCCCCCGACCAGAGTAGGCGAAACTGAAAGAGCGGATGGTGGTGAGATGGGGCAGAAAAAGAAAAACAAAGACGGGGGCATCTTTCACTTAAGGTTCTATACTCGCCAATTGCCCAAGTACAGTTTTCTGAAAGAATTTGGACAGTGGAGCCTGTGACCAAACCCCCAACTGGGACACTCAACTGGAACCAGTTCGCATGCATGGGAGCTCCCACTTCCAGGGCACGGGTCAATCATCCCACGAAGATGTCCTTGTCCCTGATCTTCAGCTATCTCCCTCCCACTCACTTCCCTGGACAACCTCTCTGTTCTTCCTCCTTCCCTTTCCTGCCACGTCCCAGAACCCAGCCGGCTAACCCAATCCCTGCCCTAGAGTCCAAGTTCCAGGGTTCACTGTGCGGAGCAGGGAGAGCATGCCCGCTGCCCCCTGGGGGCCCCTCTAGAGAGGTAAGTGTTGGGGGAGAGAGTGGGAGGTGTACACTGCCCGGTGGAAGGCGCGGAGTGTTTGCAGCCCCACCTTCCCAAGTTCTACCTGCCTAGTCCACCTGTCGCCGGGTCAGGGATGTAGGGAGGTCCGGGGTTAGCCACCTTCAACTTTATTTTGTCAGGACCTGGAGGGCATGCGAAGGGTAGAGGAGAGTCCCACAAAGAACTGCGGAGTAGCCAGGAAGAAAAACGGGGTGAGGCAGGTGCCCAGTGACCTGCACATATCCCCATGGCACGCTGGCACCCGGCCCGCTCTCCAAGAAAAGAGTGAAGTTGTGGCCAAGCAGAAAGTGGGGGAGAGAGGGTCCGAGCACAGCGCGCAGGAAACCTGAAGGTCCAAGTACTGCAGGGGAAGAGACAGACAAAGTGACTCCCTAAACCCGGCCAGGCCATCCACTGGGGCAGCCCAGAGGGTACCCAGGGGAAGTATCTCTCCCCTGTCCCTGGTGCGCCGCCCCACAGCTGCCAGCTTGCTCCAGGGACCTGCCACCGCTGTCGCCGCTGGGGGTCTTGGCTCAAGGGCTCACCCAGCACGCCTCCCGCAGCAGCCCTTTGACAAAAGAGCCTTCTCTGCCGTGGGTAGCGCGGGCTCTCCTATTCTCTGGAACTTTCTCCGCGCAACTTTTTCGGGGCGGCGCTCGTCCCTGGACCGTGCGGGCTCCAGCACGCGGACCTGGCCAGGGCGTAGCACCGGCGCAAGGGACCCACGCAGGGGACGATCCCAGTCCAGTCCCGCGACACCGCCCCTCTGCCTACCACTCCCACGAAGGGACGTATTAGCGGGCCGGGACGCTGGTGGGCCTAGTAACCAGGAGTATGTGTGCCCGCTCGCTCGCGCCCCGCCGCCTGCCCGTGCGCCGAGCGCACCCAACCCGGGCAGGCCACCCCTGCGCGCTGGGTGCTTCCAGCCGCTTCTGTCGGGAGGCAGCCCTCTCCATCCGGCGTCCGCTTCCGCACCCGAGAGTGACAAGCAAAAATGGTTCAGTGCAACTCATGCACCGGGAGGAAGCAACTGGCGCCGCTCCTCTCTCCAAAAAGGCGCCCTCCTGCGTCCCTCCAGAACTCCCGAGAGGCATCAACACCTTCCCACAACTTTCTACGCCCAGGCCATTTGTAGCCCACCTGCGAACGCGAACTCCAGACCTGCGCCCCGAGAACCTTCTTCCCCTTCTGCGGGGTGCGCTCCCCTCCCCCATCTCCCCATCTGGCTGGAGTTAGCCGGACCCGGGGAGCCTCGGTGTCCGCGGGCTCGCTTACCTCGCATGGTGTGGCCGCTCTCCCGCTCCGCGTAGTCATGAAGCTGCTCCCAGCCCGAACCGCGGAGCCCAAAAATCCTGCTCAGCACGAGTGAAGAAGGTGGTCGGCAAAGAGCTGCTCCGCCGAGAAAACCATCCCTTTAGGCGGACGCCGTGGCCGGAGGGTGACGTTTGCCGCCGCCGCCGCTGCTATGCTAACAGTTTTGATGGTGGTGGTGATGACTGTTTTGATGGTTGTTTGGTTGTTTGTTTTCAGGAAGGGTGAAAAAAATGTGCTGTCTGGCTGGTGCCTGGGTTTTGTTTTGCTTTTGTTTTTCTTTTTTCTTTCTCTCTAATGTGCTTGCTTTTTAAAAATGCCACCGCCTCCGGCTCAGAAGATTTCTTTTGTGATCACTTGGACTGAGGAGGAGGAGGAAGGGCAGCCGCAGCAGGAGGAGGAGTTGGTGGTGGTTTTGTTAGTTACAAAGAAGAAGGAGAAGGAGCAAGGGGGGGGGAAAGGAAACAGAAAAGGAAGAAAGGCGGTGTGGATGGCAGAGCATGTGCGTTTTCACATGACATCTGTGCCTGTTAGCGGATCCAGTGAATTTTCACTGTTCAGTTACAGGGAGGAAGGGAGCGAGAGAGAAAGAGAGGAGAGAGATGGAGAGAGAGAGCCGAGAAGGGGCTTATACGCGAGGGCGGGTTTGGCCGGGACTTCGAGGCCCCGCCTCCTGTCAGCGCCGCCGCCTATCAGCGCCCGGCAGCGCTTGGAGGGGCCGGGACCACGGGGGAGGGGACGCGATTCCCGGAGAGAGGCGGGGGTTAGGGACACTGGAGCCCGAAGGCGGCCGGAGCTGAAGCTGGTCACTAGAGACTGTCCGAACTGGGCAAAGGAGAGGGAATGACCCAGAGAGTGGGGCAGATCGGCAGGTGACATTCACTTCCGACTCCAGGAGGAGGGAGAAGGCACTGACAGTCCTTTTAGAGGCGAGAGTCGTGGGGCTCCCCGGGTCCCACGTTCCGTCCCTCTCTCGCAGCGACTGCCTGCCCCGATAGTTAGTTTTGAATTTCTGGCAGCGCTCTGCAGAGTCCTCTTTCGGTAAACTCCGAATCTCTGGCGGGGGTTTCCATGAACAGGACGCTTCAGTTTTAGTGGCAGAATCATGCAAATCAACTTCCATCACTTTGAGCGTAACCAAAATGCAGTCCCATGCAAGTGCCATCCGCTTCCTTTCAAACCATCTTTCTGATGCTTCCCGCCCTGAATCCTAAAAACAGAAAACACGACACACTAAGATTTCTTCAGTTTTTTAAAAAATTATTTTAAAAATATTTACTACTTTCTTTTGTCAAGGAAATTTTTATTAGCGTTTGGAAATCTCCTGGCATTGGGCTACCCTATTCAAGGATAACAGCCCCAGCTGACTGTGGTTATCCCAGTGATGCCAGGGAGGTGGCTGAGGCCAGAGGCATGATTGTGTGGTGCTGCTTATTTGATAAAGGTGCAAGGGTTCTAGGAGGGAGGAATTTCAAGCCCACTTGCTATGAGAAGACATTTATCTATGTATTGGAGACTGGCAATTAAACGTAAGTATTTTGTATTCCTTAGGTGAAAACTGTCATCTATGACCATTTATTTGTATTTTGATAAAAATTCAATGCATATATCAAAACTGTTCCTTTGCAAGTTTTCCCCTCTCAGTGGACACAGTAAACATATAGTGATCACATCTACTCCCTGGCTCCCCACCATAGTAGGTTAATTGGTCCCCTAAAAGACAGGGGAAAAATTTGCTTCTTCTACTCAGTCTTAAGACATTGAGGCTCCTACTCATTAGTGTACCTGTTGGCAGAGCAGGCCTCATCATCATTCACCTGTACAAATAATTTGATTTTTACTGGTATTTATTCATATTATGTCATGTAACACAAAGTGCAATGCAGAATTGGCAATTATTTAGTTAATTACTGCACCCTACACTGCCAAGTAGTCCCCCCCCTTTAAATAAAAAATGGATTACTTGCTGAATCTTCTTTAGTGCTAAATTGACTTAGCCCTGCTATATGCCCTTCCATTTGCAAGCCAATGTGTAATTTAGGAAAATTTTACTATTAAGAGTGCAAGTTGATTGAGTCTTTAATTAAATGAAATGAACAAAAGGAAGTTACTGTTCAGAATAGTTATTCCCTTATAAATACCTTTCCCCTAGATTTGTAATTGACACAGTAGTTAATCTTTTAAGATAATATTTAAGGCTCCCCAGTTTTATCATTTTTAATCAAGTAAAATATATTCATCATAACTACATTAAAGCTGCACTAAGTTATGCCTAATTTAGTTGCTTCATTAAAAATTACTGAATATAAAATAGTCAAGAAACAAATTGTGACTACATCATTTTAATTTTATGTGCTTCAAGCAGAGACACAGGAATGTTGAAAGTTCTTTAAAGCCTTTGTAAACACTATAATTATTATTGTTGTGATTATTTTAGTTTCTATTTCTGATTAAAGAGAAATTTCAAAATTCAGGAATTTTAACTCTTCTAGTCTTACATTGCTGAACATTTATTGAATTCTTAAATTCCTTTTACTGCTGCAATATCTGTACTTCTTAAAAAAGATAGTCAACACATATAAGTGCCTTCCCCCCCTCCTACACATTTTTATATGTCCTTTGCTTTGTCGGTTCAACAATACATAATTTTGCTTAGAATTCTATCACACAGTTCTTAATCCCTTCCGAAAACTTCTGAAAAAAATTAATTAGAAATAAAGACTTAAATTTATCATTTTAAAAACTGTATTATATTATATATAGTGGTACAAAAGTATTTCTTTTTTAGAGTGGAATAAATGTTGGTCATTGGTTATACTGTGGTGATCTGGGACATTTTGGATCTTCCTAAAAATTAAAAAAACTGAGTTCTTGAGCTTTCCTAGTAAGTTGCAAATTATGTCAACTGAATGGAACCCATTTGTGTAAAATAAATATTCAGGACTTAAGTTAAAGAAATCAGCATTTTCCAGAAGTCATAAAATACTTATGATTATCTGATATTTTTGTAACCTATCTGCCAGCAACTATCCCTATTTTTATTGGCATAATAATATATTGATATAATGACCTTGTTCACATGAAGTGAACTTGAATGATTACGTTATGATTTGGTTTCCTATAATCTCGAAACTCTGCTTTTGTCCCTGGGTCTGAAGGATGTTCTAAGTTGATAATTTTAAATGAAAATCAGCAGGTCACATAGCACTGTACTTAATCTAAAAAACTGATACAATTTCACTTTTGTTCCTGCTAACCTGCTTTCTGGACATACCACCATCCCTCAGATTTAGCTATAAGGCCACAGAGTAATAATGACAAGAAATATCCTGACAGAGGCAAGGGTTTATTATGAGCCAACCAGTTAGGGTGAACACGGCATTTAGGATTATTTCAATTCTAAAATGCTTGAACCAAATAGGAAGTAATGGTTCACCATATGCTGAGCTGACAAGTCTATAGAGACTGTTTTAAAGAACATGAATCTCAGAGGAGGAACACTGGCAATATTGATAATAATATTACATTTGGAATGACTAGAAGACTGGGTGTTTAGGGGGGCTATGTGGCTGTGAAAGTTGAGAAAGATATATAAAGCTATCTTAACTATTGGGAAAATGAGGAAAAAAAGAACTTTAAATATTTACCTATGAAAAATGGAAATGGTCAAGTACTGAGCTTACTGTTGCTGGAGGCATCCAAGAAAGATTGAAGGAAAAGCTTCGGTAAAGATGCTCTACTATACAGATTTCTCTAGTAGGCTGAAAATAGTCTAGATTAGCTCCAATTATCTTCTGCAAGTGTAAGTGTATTCACATGGAGGTAATTACTACAGCCCCAGCAGCTGTAACAGCTCTGTTTCCTAAGGAATGGAAGCTCCATGAGAGCACAGGCCAGGATTTCCCTAGAGTTTGGAAGAGCTCTTGGTACTTTATAAGGTATGTGATAATTATTGGCTGAATGGATACTTTCCACTGTTTGTCCCCTCGATGCGAACCAGAAATATAGCAAAGACTTATCTGAATAAGATCTTTTCTTTCTTAGTTTCCAATGAATGGAAGGTGGGGTCAGGGGTGGGAGGGTAGGAAAGAGGGAGAGAGAAGAGATTTTCTTTTCTTTTTCATTTTAAACTCTCCTAATTTGGGTAAGAAAAAAAAATGATGTTTGGGTTTGGTTACATAATTATAAAAGAAAGTAAAACCTAATTATTTTCATATTTATTACTATTCTATTATATTATCAGATGAAGAGTCTTCATAATCTTTTAGTACTTTTAAGTTCTGCTTCATTTTTAAGTATGGATGCAATTTCAACAACTTTTCAGAATGAAAAAAGAGAAAATATGCTAAAAATGTGTAGCTGGTGCTTTATGTAATAAATTAGAAAGAGTGCGTGTGGGCCAAAACAAAATGAGCCCCAATATGTGGGATAAAAGGTTAGGTAAGCCTTAGGAAAATAACAAACAGATTAGGAAAAAACAAAAGAGCTAACATTTATTGGATGAACTACATGGTCTATCAGCCTATCTGATTTCTATTTCCTAAAAAAGCCTACATGGTGTGTATTATAGCTCACTACCCTAACCCCTGCCCCCCGCCCCTTTTTAAAGATAAAGAAACACAGGCTTAGAAAGGTCAAGGAATTTGCCTAAGACCACAAATCTAAAAATGCTGGATCTGTGATTCAAACCCAGATATAGCCTCTAAATTGTAAATTCTATGAGTACAGGAACTTTCCTGATTTTACTTTTTTCAGTGCTGAATCCCCAGAATCTAGCATCTTACCTGGCAAATAGTAGATGCTCAAAATACACTTGCAGATGAATAAATGGACATTTGAACTCTTGTCCACCGCACAGTGTGGCATGTCCACACACTCTAGGACTGAAGCTAGTTATTTGTTAAATGCCATTAAATAAAGAACAGTGAATTTTGACTTTGCGGATAAAAGGACACTGTGAAAAATTTATTTAATAATTATCTAATGCCTGATTCAGGTCCATCATGGAGTCTAGGAAATACTTTTGTAATAAATATATCAGGTCATAGATAATGTGGGTCTGCATTAAAACGGCACCAGTGAAAATGAAAAAAAAAACAAAGAGGAAAGGTTGATATATTTTGACAACCAAAAGCTACTAGAATCTAGTTCATGATTCTATGGTGGTGCTGGTGGGCAGTGTGTTGGTTATAGTGATGGAGAAGTCAAACAAATCTTCATGAGTAGGAAGCTGATATAATGAATATACCATTAATAGAAATAAGTAAGGAAGGCAGAGTAGGTTCTTGAATAAATAGGGGAAAATGTTGAGATTAATTTTCAGTTTTGGTGTGTATGTAGAACTGGAGATTTGGTAATTGTTAAGAGGTGAAAATAAAGATTTTTAAGACACTCAGAAACATTAAGGAGAAGCAAAATAATATGAGAAGAAACCAAATGTCTCTTTTTAATGGGTAGGATGGAGGGATAAGCCAGCGAATATGAGGATGGATGGGCAATGGTGGACTACATTGCTATTGTATCAGAGAAGTCGAAGTAGATAAGAGTTTCAAGAAAGAAGGAATGATCAACAGAGTCAGACAGGCAGAGAACCCAAGGGCCA